GCACAATTGGAAGAGCGTAGTCAATGTCACTGAACTGTGCGTGTAGAAATTTTTGAATTGGTGTATCTTTGGCTATGTGTATTTTCACCAAAAAAAAAAAGGTTGAGAAGTTAGAGGGTTGACATGTTGTGGGGTTATTAACCAATGTCATAAACAATATGTGTACTACTGTTTCATAAGAAACTATTTGTTCTATAAGCCTTCACCTGAAGTACAATTAAAAAAAAGAAAACAAAAAAAAAACACCTAAGTAATTAGTATGCCACCAGTTATCAGGACACTCCCAGTCACCCCCCGACCAGGTCACTCACTTCCTCTAAGCTGTTTTGTAGACTCTCTGGAGAATTCCTGACGGATCTGGATCTAGCCGGCTTAAGGAGGTCACACATGCGCAGAGCTGACAAGAGTGACTGACAAATGACTTTGCCCCCCCCCCCGCCCACGCATGCTCAATAGCATGGGAAAACTCAGGTCAAGGAACGAAAAGACTCATGTCAAAGAACCAAATTCACCAGACATGTGTCATCTCCAGTAGCAGAGCCCATTTCAGAAGTGAAGAGTCCATCAGGGCTTCCATGCCAAGTCTTAGCCCTGCCCCATAATAAATAATCAATAAAAACTATGATTATTTAGAACTTCCTGATCCTGCCTACTTGCCTTCCTCCACCCCTATATGAATATGTATAGCTCCCCAAACCTACAAAATGTAAATGCTTCCTCAAATTGAGGAACTCAGTCTGAGGTTGATACCTCTGAGTTCCCGCTTGCTAGCCTGCAGAATAAACTCTTCCTTTCAAAACCAGCATCTGAGAGACTGGCTCCTTGCACGCTAGGCACCGACCCACCGGTCCGGTTTTATCAACACCCTGGTCTGTGATAACAATGAAAACCAAAGGACGTCCTGTATCTTCTTTCCCTTGCAAGAGAGAGAAAGGGTGAATAAACTACAGGTGGGGGCACACGTCGACCTAGTTCACTGAGGTAACAACAAGGCAGCTGCTGACCCGTCCGTCCTCCAGCCTCCCTGGGCTTCCCGGCAGCCCCAGCGTCCGCGCCGCCAACGGGTAAGCGCATGCGCACGAGGGGGAATGAGCATGTGATTGGCGTCTCGAGGCGAGGCGGCGCGCGCCGGCAGTCGCACAGGGTGGGTGCGAAGCGGGTAGAATTCACTGCACGCGGTGGGGGTGTGGGGCCCGCTGTAGGGCAGGTTTCCGCTGTGTTTGGGTGCATTATTTTTTTCCAGGGTGTGAGGCCTGACTCATTTTCATCAGCTTTGGTTGTGGGGTGTTTTCAGTCTTTTAGCACTGTCGTCCTCTCACAAGCAGAGAAGATCGGTGTCTGTTCCAAGTGAACCAACACTTGGGTTCTGTAGGCTGTGAGAAGACTTAGAAAATTTTATCCCAGTTATTTAATGCTTTTTCACAGCCTTCCGTGACGTTTTCTCCACTTTCCCCTTTTTTGAAAATGCCTCCGCTATCCGGGACATTCGCTTTACACAGGTGACACCCAGAGCTTTGTCTCTAGATCCTTCTATGGTTCTGAACTCCAGGCTGTGATTATGTCACCTTACTGGATATATACATTTGGGTGTGCCAAGAGCCTGCCAAAGTCAATATATCTCAAATGAATTTTTTCTTGTCATTTCCCTACTCTTCTCCCTGGATTTCGTGTTTCCTTTAGAGCAACATAATCTCCCTATACCCATATTAAAAACTCAGTTATCTTTTTGATTACCTCCCCATATTGTACAAGCTGGTTACCATATCCAGTGTGAGATCTTTAAAAGTCTGGAATCCATCTCCTCCTTTCCGTTCCTTTACTAATCCCTTAATTGAGCGCGTCGCTATTGCAATAGCTAGAAATTGATGATCGACTCTTCCCCATTCTGATCCATTTTGCACACAGGCAGCAGGCACTGATTTCCAAATAATAATCTGACCATGTTACTCCCCTGTTAAAACAAAAACACCCTTGATGGCTTCCCTTTACCTATATAATAATCATCATGGATTTTAAGAGCTTTCATAATCTGGCTTTACCCAACCATTTCATTATCAATAGCCTCCCTTCATTCAGCCCCAGAAACCTATGTTCTAATGTAGCAGAGGTGAGATGTCTTGAAAACAACATGCAGTTTAAGATCATTGAATTTGTGGCCACAGAGAAATAAACTCTGAGGTTTCACCCCTACTAAATACTGAAAAGGACAGTCTCACATAACTTTTCTTTGGAAAATGGTCTGGACTCCAGGCAGCTGGGATGTGGCTCTAGCAGGGCAGGGCTGATAATTAGAGGAAACAATACTAATGGGGGATAGCTCCTATCTCTGGAAAAGTTTCTCTTTTTCTTCCCCTTCCCCTCCAATTACTGAAATCTTACTCATCTATCAAATGTCATCTAATAATCATCTATCAAATGTAATCTATTAAAGTAGAATTCAAAACTTCTCTATGACCCCACTGTACTGAATCAAAATGTCTTAAAACTAAATGTGATAATAGAAAATATTAGCACAACCTCCACACAAGGATGATCCCAAATTTTGTGAAACATTTCATATATATTGTTCTTTCTGTGCTCCCTAGTATATTGATGTTTCTATTATAGCACTATATTGTACTGTAATTGTTTATGTGTTTGATGTCCCTCACTGGACTCTTTCTGAAGAATAGGGACCATATTTTACCCATCTTTGTGTTCTAGACTATGCTTTGGACAGTTTCGTATCCAATAAATAGTAGATAGCCAATAGGTATTTGATAATGAATAAATATATTAGTCATTATTTCTAACTTCTCTCAGTTGGCAAATCGTGGAAGACCAGATCCAATTATAATCATTTTATCCCTAGCACCTAATACAATTACTGGCATATATTGTTAGCAATTAATGTTTGCTGTCTTTAAATGAATTTTACACTCTCTACTAATACCATAGTTTAATGTTTTAAGATGGTAACTGACACAAGATTTAAAGCTGGAAGGAGTTCTTAATCATCTAAACAATGCTTCATTTCCTGCAGATGAAGATACTGAGCCAAGAGAGGTCAGGTGATTTTCCCAGAGCAACCGGGAAATGTGCTGAGTCTAGAACCAAGTTCTCAGATTTCCTAGCTTACTACTTCTTCTACTATCCTATCACTTAGATGGAATTTATGAAACAATTTTCACCACTTTATTTTTTAAAACAATGCCTAAAAATGTACCTCATCATCTGATATTATTTATTTCAACAAGCATTTTTTGAAGTACCTACTCTGTAAAGAGATATTTGAAGCAAGCTCCTGTTCTTAAGTTTGCTGTCTTATGGAGGATTCCATAACAGTGTTGATAAAAATGTTATTTGGCAAAAGAAGACAAAGTCTTATTTCCCGTTGGGTCGGAATTTTTAGTTAGAATTTTTACTAGTTTTATTTTACTCTCAATTTTAATAGTTTGTAATGTTTTACTAGCTGTCTTGCCTTAAAAGTAAATTTTTTTTAATTTCTAGGTATTCTCATCCTTTCTATGAGTTGCACCATCTGTATTTATTTACTAGCAACACTGATTTAATCAATTAGTAATACAGAAGAATAATTAACTAGGAGATAATGTCAAATCTAAAAATGAAAGAGGCAGCTCTTATCTATCTTGACAGAAGTGGACGCCTCCAAAAATTTATTGAAGATTGCAAGTATTACAATGGTATGTTCAGCAAAAGTAACTTACTTTAGAAACTTTAAAATAAATTCCTACATATAACTATACTGACTTTTAGAACTGTTTATTTCTACAGATTCAAAACAAAGTTATGCTGTCTATCGATTCAATATTTTAATAAATCCTTCTGATGTTGTTGAATTAGATGCTGAACTTGGAAATCACATTTTACACCAACCCTTGAAAGCTGCTCAAGTTTTTCAGTCAGTAAGTTAAAGAAATAATTTTTTTAAATTGTGCTTTAGGTGAAAGTTTACAGCTCAAGTTAATTTCTCATTCAAAAATTTATACATATATTGTTTTGTGACATTGGTTGCAATCCCCACAATGTGACAACATACCCCACCTTTCCACCCTGCATTCCCTGTGTCCATTCGACCAGTTCCTGTCCCTTCTTGCCTTCTCAAACTGCTTTTGGACAGGAGCTGCCCATTTGATCTCGTATATCTGAATGAACTAAGAAGCATGTTCCTTAAGTGTATTGCTTTTTGTTTTATAGTTCTGTCTCATCTTTGTCTGAAGAGTGGGTTTTGGGAATGGTTTTAGTTCTGGGTTAATAGAGTGTCTGGGGGCCATAGTTTCAGGGGTTCCTCCAGTCTCTGTCAGACCGTTAAGTCTGGTCTTTTCACGTGAATTTGAATTCTGTTCTACATTTTTCTGCTCTGTCTGGGACTCTCTGTTGTGTTCCCTGTCAAGGCGGTCATTGGTGGTAGCCAGGCACCATCTAGTTCTTCTGGTCTCAGGCTGGTGGTGTCTCTGGTTCATTTGGTCCTTTAGTCCTTTGGGCTAGTATTTTCCTTGTGTCTTTAGTTTTCTTCATTCTTCTTTGCTCCAAGTGGTATGGCACCAATAGATGTATCTTAGGTGGCTGCTCACAAGGTCTTAAGACCCCAGACACTACTCACCAAAGTGGGACGTAGAACATTTTCTTTATAAACTATGTTATGCCAATTGACCTAGACGTTCACTGGAACTATGGTTCCCCTGGCCCTAGTCCCGGCTACTGTGTCCATCAAAGTGTTTGGATGTGTCTAGGAAACTTCTTTGCTTTTGCTTTGGTCCAGTTGTGCTGACTTCCCCTGTTTTGTGTGTTGTCCCTTCCCTTCACCAAAGTTGGCCCTTGTCTACTATCAAGTTAGTGAATTCTCCTCCCCTTCCCTCACTACCCTCGTAACCATCAAAGAATGCTTTTTTCTGTGTTTAAACCTTTTCTTGAGTTCTTATAATAGTGGGCTCATACAATATTTGTCCTTTTGTGACTGATTTATTTCACTCAGCATAATGCCCTCCAGATTCATCCATGTTGTGAGGTGTTTCCTGGATTCATCATTGTTCTTTATAATTGCATAGTATTCCATAGCGTTTATGTACCATAATTTGTTTATCCATTCATCTGTTGATGGGCATTTAGTTTTTTTCCATCTTTTTGCTATTGTGAATAGTGCTGCAATGAACTTAGATGTGCATATGTCTATTTGTGAGACAGCTTTTATTTCTCTAGGGTATATTCCTAGGAGTGGGATTGCTGGATCGTATGGTATTTCTATTTCTAGCTTTTGAAGGAAGCACGGTATTTTTTTCCAAAGTTGTACCGGTTTACATTCCCACCAGCAGGGCACAGGAGTTCCAATCTCCCCTCAACCTCTCCAACATTTGTTATTTTGTGTTTTTTGGATTAGTGCCAGTCTTGTTGGGGTGAGACGGTATCTCATTGTAGTTATGATTTGCATTTCTCTAGCAGTTCGAATCCACCAGGGGCTCCTTGGAAACTCTGTGGTGCAGTTCTATTCTGTCTTATAGGGTCACTATGAGTCGGAATCGACTCAATGGCAATGGTTTCTCTTTTTAATGGCTAATGATTGTGAGCATTTCTTCAAGTGTCTGTTAGCTGCCTGAATGTCTTCTTGGTGAAGTGTATGTTCATATCCTTTGCCCATTTTTTAATTAGATTATTTGTCTTGTTGTTGTTGAGGTGTTGCAGTAAAGAAAAAAATAATTTTATGCCATGTGGAATTTTTGGTAATTTTTTTGTTTGTTTCAAATCACAGGTCTGTTTTATTGCTGTTAAGACTCTTTCATTAATTGGACAGTTACAGACTGAAACTCAAGTAAGTTTCAGTTTAACAAAGAAAGCTAAGGTATAATACTTCCAAAATGACTAACAAATTAATGTTTTTATATTCATAGATTACTTTGTTTATTAAAAATTATACCACATTTTTCCAAAGTTCAATGAAATATTTTACACACATCTTTACTTCCTATATTGTTACTTATAACATTAAACATTTTTATAATGACATATTTCAAACATACACAAAAGTAAAGATAATAATACAATGAACCTTCATATGTCTGTCACGGAGAATCAAGATTTTGCCACACCTGCATCATCAGTGTCAAATCCCAGACATTCTGTCATTTCACCCCTACATACTTCAGGATCTACCTCTAAAAAATATGGACATTTTTCTTGTATAACCACATTGTCATTATGACCCCTTAAAAATTTCAATAATTCGTTAGTATCATCTAACATATAGTCCATATTTAAATTTCCCCAATTGTCTCAAGAATGTCTTTACAGTTGGTTTGTTCAAATCAACATCCAAACAAGGTCCACACATAACTGGTTCTTATATCTCACTAAATCTCTTAAACTAAAGCCATTCCCTCTCCTTCCCTTTTTATACCATTGACTTTTTGAAGAAATTAATTGTCCTGTAAAATGTCTTGTAATCTGGATTCCTCTAGTTGCTTTCTTTTGTAGTGCTATTTAACTTATTCCTCTATACCCCGAATTTCTGTAAAATGGGAGTTGGCTCTAAAGACTTGCTTAGATTCAGGTTCAACTCGTTTTGATGAGAATCCATCATAATTAGTGTCATGTATTTCATTTTGCACAACATGAAGAGGGCTATCATATCTCTTCTCCCACTTTTAGTAATGCCACAATTGATCACTGGGTTCAGATGATGTCAGTCCGATCACTTCATCATACAGCTTCTCATCAACATTCACCTAATGGTTTTAGCAGCCACTGATGATCATTGCCTAGATCCATTATTTCATTAGGAGTTTAAAAAATTGTGATTTTATGATTATAGCATTCTTCCTGAATTTATTAACTGAAATTATCCTATAAGAGAAACTTGCATCAACTATTTGGTTACCTTGAAGTACACCTTGTATAGGAAAGGCAGGATAATGTTTGATTCTTTCTCTTTATCTATATTCAGACAGTAAATGATGAGTTAAAATCCTAGCAGCTTCCAATGATGACCAATGACCAATTTTTAAAAAAAATTTTTTTAAATATCATTAGGAATTCATGAAATTTTATATATCTGAAATGTTCAAGTGAATCACTATTATTCCTTTTGATGTTTATATTTTCCTATTTTTAGTCATTGGGAGAGTCTCTTCAAGTTTGTTCCTGTGTCCTTTTGACACAATCCCACTAGCTTGGGTTTTTTTTAGACTTAAAACAAATATTTATTATCTCACAGTTTCTGTAGATCAGAAATCTAGGAGTAACTTAGCTGGTTTTTCTGTCTCAAGCTCTCTCATGAAGTTGTGATCAACCTGTTGACCAGGGCTGAAGTCTTATCTGGAGACTGCACTAGGAGAGGATGCATCTCTAAGCTTGCTCTTGTTGTAGCTGGCAGATCTCAGTCCCTTGCTGGCTGTTGGCGGGAGGCCTCCCTCAGTTCCTCACCATGTGAAGTTCTCCACAGGACTGCCTCGCAACATGGCAGCTGGCTTCCCCCAGAGTAAAGGATCCGAGAGACAAAGAGAAACAGCACCAAAGATGAAAGCCTTAGTCTTTTTGTTTTCAGTAATATGAATTTCATTAATTGTGCAACTTTTTGGAGGTCTGATCATTATAGTTTTATTATAGCAAAAAGGATAAAAATGAAGAGGTGCATAGCTCTGGCCGAGGTCTGGGATGGTTCCCAGCAGGGAGCTACCGTGTCCCAAAAAGGAACATTCTACCCTCCTATGTGCATAGATGTTTATCACCAACCAGGAGGCCCCCCATTAGTTTTTTATAGCTCCCTTAGTTTCTGAAACAAGAAGATATCCCATATCCATCTGGTATATTTTCTGCCTCAGACACGGAATCAACCATTTCCCTCAAGGAATTCTGTTATCTTTTAGTGAGAAATGGTATTTAGAGATCACAGTCTGGGCTCTAAGAGTATTTATTGCTATTGAGTTGTCATTGTTTTATAAATCTTTTCAGTGGATATAGCCAGGAAATGTGTATTTTTAAAGAAAAAACGAGTTCATAATGATATTTCTAATTAAAATGTAAGTTTATAAGGTTTTTAATTAACTTTTTAAATTTTATACTTGAATCTCTTCTCTTATGCTTAAAACCTTGATTCCTAACAACACTAGCAAATCATTTACTTAACTCTACAATATACTTATATTTATTAACTATAATAAAAGTTCAGTTGGATCTGCAGTTTTTATTAATACCATCTTTATTTTCTTATTAGATTAATATAGTGCTGAAATTAACACATTTACCTCCTTTGCCAAGTTATGGTCTTGATCTTTGCAAGTTTCCACTTGATTATACATCTCAAAGATTTTATATGATGCAAGGAATTGTAATTGCAATGACAACTGTAACCAAGTATACACAGGGTGCAAGATTCCTTTGTTCAGATGAGGCATGTCCTCTTTCACAAGGTAAATATTAAAATGTAAAATCAAACCATTAAGCAATTTATTGTTTAATCCTAAATCATGTTTACAATTAGTTATGAAATGTTCACAGAATAGAAAGAATGGAATAAAAGTTGGTATTCCCTAGTGTTTTAATGTTTACTGTGTATAAGCTTGAAATGTTTTCTTATTTGGTTCCACTTAATAACAAGTTGAGCTTTGGTGGTGCAGTGGTTAAGAGCTACGGCTGCTAACCAAAAGGTCAGCAGTTCAAATCGACCAGCTGCTCCTCGGAAACCCGATGGCGCAGTTCTACTCTGCTCTATAGGTCACTATGAGTCAGAATCGATTCGACAGCAGTGGGTTTTTTTTTTTTTTTTAAAATAACAACTGCTCATGTAATGCTGAGCTACTTGCTCTTCTCACACATTATTCCATGACTCTGTTTTTGCTTGTGGTGTTCTCTCTCCATGTAATGTCCTCTTTACAATCCTTTGGCTTAACTTTAGTTCAGTCCTTCTACAGAGAATCTTTTCCATTTATCCTCACTTCTCATTGGGTTGGATGCCCCTCCTCTATTCTGTCTCAGCACTCTGCAGATGAATACCTCTGCCAAACGGTTAAGCTCTGGGCTATAACTGAAAGGTTGGCAGTTTGAGTCCATCCTGAGGTGCCTCAGAAGAAAGGCCTAGAAACCTGCTTCCAAAAGGTCACAGCCATGAAAACCCTATAAAACCTGTTGCTGTCCAGTCGATTCCGACTCATAGTCAGAACTGGCTTGATGGGAACTGATTTGGTTTTTTCTTGGATTTGTCATTGTAATTGCCACATATTAAAATTCTCTGTGTAAGCATCCATGTCACCAGTGCCTAAGCACAATTCCTGACAAAAAAGAGGCGTGCAATAAATGTTAATTGAACTGCTCTGAACCCACATGCGAAACTGAATTAATTATACTTTGAGTTAAACTAATTAAAAATGGATGGCTAAACCTGGAAGCAAATTTAGCTTACCTCTGTTTTCTTTCAGGATTCCAATATATAAGAGTGCATGTGCCTGGTGCTACAGAATCGGCAACAGTAAGAAATGACTTCTTGTGTAAGCTATGTGCTTCTTCACTTCAAGAAGACAGAAAATTTAGAGTACTTGGTGGTAAAAATGCATTTACATTTTGTAAATACAGTTTTTAAAATAGTGTCTGATATCTTATAGTAAAAATTAAATTGACTATATTCTAATAACTAATTATTTTTTGCCCTTTGCCTTAAGATAAACAGATCGTTGAAGTAATTACTGCAAAGGCACTTCGTGCTTTTCAAGGAGTTTCTAACAACCAGCAATTTAGGTTTCAATCTCTTACAGTTTTCCTGAGAGGTGAGTAAGTTGTGTTTGAACTTAAGATAAATTGCTACAAAATATCGAGTGGATTTATTTATACTAATATAGAGTGATACTTCTATAACCTGGTGTTTAAGAATCATAAGTGTTTTTATTCTTGAGTGTTTTTAAAAAGTCATATTTAGCTAATGTATTAATCATTCATCCATTCATTCATACAATATTCACTTAAAAAGATATCAGTACCAAAATAAATAAATAAAAAGTGATCAGTATCTGCTATGTCCCAAGCACTGTGATAAGTCCTGAGGTCACAGTCATTTTAAGGTAATGATCTCCCATTTAAGGTAATGATCTCCCATTATTCTACGTGTATATGTCTTATGTAAATATTGAGGGTCTTGTGTTAGAATATAAGCTTCCTGAGGGTAGGAACTTTAGTTTTTTACTGCACATAGTAAAAACTCAAAAATCTTTGTTGAATGAATGAATGAACATTGACTGATGGTCGGCTATGGAGGGAGAACTGCATGGGTAAGGCTCTGTAGTAGATAGGGTCTGAAGTGCAGGAGGAAATCATTATGCGGATCATTCACTCAGGGAAGAGGTTAAGTCTTCACTGGGAAACCAGAACTGTGGAGATAAGCATGGGGTTCGACCTCCTTCTTTTGACTAAAATTGGAGGAATTAAACTTTAGAAAGAGAGATCTTATGTATAAATCATGTAGAGGAAACTCAACTGTTAAGAAAGCGGAGATTTAAGTAAAAACTCCCTATGGTTTGACAAGGTCGAGGCAGACAAGTGAGCTCAGATGATAATAAGTAAATTTTATATATATTAATTACTAAGTGTACTTTTACATATATTAATCATTTAGTCACAGCAACCCTATAAGGTAGATTCTACTGTTATCTTAGAGTGAGGAAACTGAGGCACAGAGAGTTAAGTAACTCACCCAAGGTCACACAGCTAGTAAGTACCAGAGCCAGGATTCAAACCCAGGCAATCCAGCCTCTAAGTCTGTGCTTTTAACTACTTTACTCTAGCATATACTGTATTTAAACTATAGTTTGCAATATAGAAATGTAAGTGGCTATCCAACGTATATTTTAGCAGAAAACCCTTTCTTCAAATAAACTCTAGCATAGAACTCAAAGAAATAGAAAAAATCAAATTGATAAAAGCAGGCCTTTTTGAGTCAACACGGGAAGAGAAACCTAGACTTTCCAGTCTTCCTCTTGACTATTCCTTCACCTCAGGACACATCCACCGAACTATAAGATTCCATGGAGCAGGTGAAGAGAGACCACAGTCTCTTTTTATTTTCTCTTGTAATTCATTCTGCATCCTTTCGTTGGGTTTTTTGTTTGTTTGATTGATTTGTTTTGCTTTTATGTTTTTTATGTTTACTTTTTCAACTGTTGAGCCTACTTCTTCCCGTTCAGATTTACGTGTTACACCAATATGCTCTCTAGGGCCAAAAAAAAAAGAAAAGAAAAACAAGACAAAAAAGTAGAGATCACTCTTTGATATTCTTCACAGAGCAAAATGAATCCTTGCTCCTCTTTGTAAATCCTTCTTTTATAACTTTACAACCACTCAATTTCTAATTGTGGAATAGAGGATCAGGATTTTTAGTGTTTTTTTTTCAATAAACTTTGAGCTTGTGCAAAAGGTTTGTCCAAGCTGGCAACGTGAGAGAGGAACAGAGAATAGTACAAGACTTTCACTTTGGAGACAGGCAGACCTGGATGCGAGTTTCAGTTGTGCCACCTACTAGTTATTAGCCTTTCACAAGTCACTTAACCTCTCAGTGCCTCTTTTTTCATATGTAAATTGGAGCTAATAATATCTATTATACAGTTTACAAGTAGAGATAATGCATGTAGAAGTATCTTGCTTGCATTGTTGACAGTGAGTGGTAGCTTTCAGAATTATTTTCTTCCCAAATGGGATTATTAATTACAAGTTTGTTTTAATTAACATTCCTTGTCCTTTAATGCAAAGATATTTCATATTATATACAATTACTTCTTTCCTTTTGACTATAAGAGAGTATTTACTTTCTATGGTTACGTATTTATGGAAGTTAATTCATCATTGTATGTAAGTATCAAAATTTATCAGGAATAATATTGCTTCAATTTATATTATTATAGCCACTCTATATGGATATTATAATAAACAAAATTAAATAGTTTACTACTAATTCAACTACTGAATTGTTACTGGCTCTAGATCTTTGAACCATATGATCACGTACAAGTTTCATTTAGTAAATGGATATTTTCTTCTGTGTTTAATAATTTTAGATGAATCAGTGAATAAAGCGAGTATAGGAAATGAGTATAAAATTATTGGAATTCCAACCTGTGTCAAAACCTCACAAAGTGCTGTCTGTATAGAGGCAAATAGCATCACTTTTTGCAATCCAAAAGGTAAGGAAGATGCTGTTTCATAAATTTTTCAACCTGTTCATCAAATAATGACTGGCTGCCTATGCGTGGACAATCTTCTAAGCACTAGGGATACAGTTGTGAACAGGCCAGTTAAGGATCCTGCTGTTGTGAGACTCAAATTCTATGACAGACAGTCGGTAAACATGTAAACTAATTAATAAGACAATTTTAGGTAATAATAAGTGCTATAAAGAAAATAAAACTGGTTAATTTTGGAGAACCTTCCTGGCAGGCATGATTGTCTTCTTTGAGCTAATCCTTATTTTGGTTCTTTACAATTAGCAATGAGACATATATTTCAGGATGCCAAGAGTTAGAGATTAGTCAAAGGATTTTTCTACACTACCCTTTATTCTCTAGCTAAGGCAATGCTAAGTAACTGTTGGAGTGTAAGAGAGAAAACCCAATAAAATAGCATCCTTTTCCTATCTGAATTCTCAACTAATCGAGAAATAAGCCAAAAGAATAAGGTACATGAAGGCCAAACTATCGCCTTTACTACTGATAATTTTCATTAACAACTTCAGCATAATTAGGCATTAAGAGAACAAAAGTGAAGTGCAGACTTACTCTTTTAACTTGGCTTACAAATGTCTAAATGTAGGAAAGACCAATTAAATCTTAAACACAGTTGAATTTTTTGGAATCAATAGATAATCATTTGCAGTAACAGGGGCCCAAGTTGAATTTAAATGCAAGTGGATTCTAGATACCTCTGCTTATCTTGAAGAGAAAAGCCTCTTAAAAGAACAAAAATGTTGAAGAAAGAAAACACTGGTGGACAATTGACATTTTAGTAACCTTTTAAATGTTTTCTGCTATGAAGACTTTCAAGATGTATTGATTTGGTAGCAGAACATGACACACATATGTATATGGTTATGCGCTCGACTACCAGCCAAGAGGATGGCTATTCAAACCCACCTAGAGGGACCTTGGAAGATAGAATTGTGACCGAAAGGTCACAGCCCTGAAAACCCTATGAAGCAGTTCTACTGTGCACACATGGGTTTGCCATGAGTCAGGATCAACTCAAACAGCAATATGGGAGCCTCATGATCTGGCTTTGCTTTGTTGTTAGCTGCCATGAAGTTGGCCCCAACTCATGGTGACCCCATGCACAATGGAGTAAAATGTTCCTTGGTCCTGCACCATCCCCATGATCGGTTAAGGATCTGACTGTCTTAACTGTGGAAGCTCCACTAAAACCTATTCAGCATCATGTCAACACAGAAGCCTCCACTGACAAAGGGTTGTGGCTGCACATGAGGTGCATTGGCTGGGAATCCAATGGGGTCTCCATCTGGAAGGCAAGAATTCTACCACTGAACCACCAATGCCCCTTGGCTTTGCTTACATGTCTTAAAAAGAAGAATTAGGGATTTGCTTACAGCCACACAGAGCCTATCTGTATGGACACACTGGGTGACTGCTTCCTTTTATTATATTCCCTGGGATAGAAATGATAGGCCAGAGTGACCACCAATCATAATTTAATACCATTATAAGAATTCAAATATGGCATCATTAAAAGAACTGTAACTTGATAATATTTTAGATAAGTGGAATAGGCTATCTACAATGTTATTTTCTTATAGTTTTAAAATCCTTTTTAATTAATATATGTTTTAATATTTACTTGCAGTTTCTTCAGGAATTAGTGACAACTTCATTCGTCTTCTCTCCTTGACTTCCAGCTCATGCTGGAAGTTTACAGCAATACTTGCCAACATCTTTGCATCACAGGTTGTTCCTCCTGGGACTTATAATTTGCTCAAGCTCTGTTTGTTGCTGAGTCTAGTACAGACAAGTGATCGTAACAAGGAACTGCAAGATTGCCTAGATATTTTAATTATAACAAATGATACTCTACTTGTAGACAGGTGAAATATGTGACATATTTGAAATTATAAATTGTATTTATAAAGATGAATATTTAGAATATATTTGAGCAGTATGAGTGTTTAAATCAATTTTTATCAATGAAGTTAAAAACTTTTAAAACATGAATTGAGAAATAAGATATTTGCTTTCAATATTTTAAGAGTCTAATCATTCAAAATTTCAATCTATTTCCCTACTCAGACCTTTACAAATAAATGTATCTTTCCTAGGCTTCCTTTTCCCTATTCCCTAGTTCAATGTTCTGCTTTTGTACTTTGTTTTCATTTTTAAATAATCTACCCCCTACATGGCAACAACTCATTTTCTCCTTAATCTGAAAGATTCCATTCAAATGTTGATTCACCTGTGCCCAAATAAGCCTCTGTCAAAAATTCCAGAATTACTATTTTGGGGGAATATCACCCTAACCTTGCAATGACCCTCTACTCAGCATTTTGGGGCTCCCCACTAGCAAATACCCTTTCAAAAAAGCTACATAAATGTGCACAAAGCTAGGAATCCAGATGCTGACTCCAAATTGTTGCAACCCCATGTGTGTTAGAATAGAACTATGCTCCATAGGGTTTCCAATGGCTGATTTTTTGGAAGTAGATTGCCAGGCCTTTCTCCTGAAGCACCCCTAGGTGGACTCAAACTTCCAACCTTTGTGTTAGCAGCTGAGCGCATTACATTGTTTATCTGTTTCTTATTGATTTGTGATACCAGTTATAAATTGTGGCCTTTGCTATTTTCCTGTTTGTCATTAGCCCTTTGACTTTTCTTACGGTATTTTCTTATGGGGCTGTCTGAAAGATTTTTTTAAAGGTAAAATTTATATATAGTGAAATAATCAGATATTAAGTATACAGTCTGATGAGTTTGACATGCATATAACAACCTCCACAGTAAAATATAGAACATCTCCATCACCCCAGAAACTTCCCTCATCCCTCTTCCGATCAGTTCCCATATCCACAAGTGATTTCTATTACCACGGATTAATTTTCCTGTTCTTGAACTTCACATAAATGAAATCCTACAGTGCACATTCTTTCGGTCTAGCCCCTTTCACTCAGCATAATGTTTTTGTGAGTCATTCAGTTGTGGTGTCAGTATTTCATTGTTTCTTTTATTCATCTTATGAATGTACCACAATTTGTTTATCTTTTCTCCTAGTGATGGATGTTTGGGTTTCCCATGTTTTGTCTAGTATGAATAATCCACTGTAAGCAATCTTGTACAAGTCTTTTGTGAACATATGTTTTCATTATCTTGTGTAAATACCTAGGAGTGGAATTGCTGGGTTATAAGGCAGATGTATATTTAATTTTATAAGAAACTGCCATTCAGAATGGCTGTACCATTTTACATTCCTATTGACAATGTATGAAAGTTCCAGTTGTTCCCATTCTCACCGACATTTGAGGTTGTCAGTCTTTTCTATTTTAGCCATTCTAACCAATTTATGTAGAGTCAGTTCCAACTCATGGCAACCCCATGTGTGTCAGAATAGAACTGTGCGCCATGGGGTTTTCAATGACTGATTTTTGGAAGTAGATTACCAGGTCTTTCTTCCAAGGCACCTCTGGGTGGACTCAAACTTCCAGCCTTTAAGTTAGCAGCTGAGCATGTTAACCATTTGCATGTGAAATGCTATTTCATTGTGGTTTTAATTTGCATTTCCCTGATTACTACTCATTTGAACTCTTTCGTGTGTTTATTGGCTATTCTTACATCTTCTTTTATGAAGTGCCTGTTCAATTCCTTTCCTCACTTTTTAAATTGGGTTGTTCTAGATGCACGTCCTTGGTGACATATAGGTTTTGTGGATAATTTTCTCCCAGTTTCTAGCTCTCTAGCTTGTTTTTTTATTTTCTTAAAAGTGTCTTTTGATGAGCAGACTTTTTGTTTTGATGAAGCCCAATTTACTAATTTATGTTTAGTGTTTTCTGTTTAATAAATCTTTGCCTAACCAAAGAGTATGAAGATATTATTTTATGTTTTCTTCTAGAAGCATTATGGTTTTAGTTTTAGGTTAGGTCTTTTGTCCATCTCAAGTTAACTTTTGTATGTGGTGTGAGGTAGAAGTCTGGTTTGTTTGTTTTTTTTTCGATAAATGTATCCGATTTTTCCACACCATTTGTTAGAAAGACTTTTATTTCCCTTTTGAATTGCTTTGGTACCATTGTTGAAAATCAATTGAACTGCATATGTGTACTTTGATCTATTGGTCTGATACTTATGCCACTATCACATTGTCTTGATTATTTTAGTTCTATATTAAGCCTTAAAATTGGTAGTGCAACTTTATTACTCATTTGCAAGATTTTTTAAAAAACTATTTTAGGTCTTTTGCATTTTCTTATAAAGTTGGAAGTTGTGGTCCATTAGTCCTTTGGACTAATCTTTCCCTTGTGTCTTTGGTTTTCTTCATTCTCCCTTGCTCCAGATGGGATGAGACCAGTGGAGTATGTTAAATGGCTGTTCATAAGCTTTTACAACCCCAGACATTACTCACCAAAGTAGGATGTAGAACATTTTCTTTATAAACTGTGTTATGTCAATTGAGCTAGATGTCCCCCGAGACCATGGTGGCAGCCCTCAGCCCAGTAATTCAGTCCCTCAGGGAGTTTGGATGTGTCTATGAAGCTTCTATGACTTTGCCTTGGTCAAGTTGTGCTGACTTCCCCAGTATAGTGTAGTGTCTTACCCTTCACCAAAGTTACCACTTATCTATTGTCTAGTTAGTGTTTTACCCTCCTCACCCCTCCGCTCCCTTGTAACTATCAAAGATTGTTTCTTTTTGTGTGTAAACTTTTTCATGAAGTTGTATAATAGCGGTCTCATACAGTATTTGTCCTTTTGTGATTGACTTATTTCACTCAGCATAATGCCCTCCAGATTCATCCATGTTGTGAGATGTTTCGCAGATTCATTATTGTTCTTTATTGTTGCGTAGTATTTCATTGTGTGTATGCACCATAGTTTGTTTATCCATTCATCTGTTGATGAGTACTAGATTGTTTGCATCTTTTTGCTATTGTAAATAAAGCTGCAGTGAACGTGGGTGTACACATGTCCATTTGTGTGATGGCTCTTATTTCTCTAGAATATATTCCTAGGAGTGGGATTGATGGATCATATGGTATTTCTATTTCTAACTTTTTAAGTAAGTGCTTTATCGTTTTCCAAAATGGTTGTACCATTTTACATTCCCACCAGCAGTGCATAAGAGTTCCGAGCCCCCTGAAGCCTCTTCAGCATTTGTTATTTTCTGTTTTTTTGGTTCATGCCAGTAATGTCAGTGTGAGATGGTATTTAATTGCAGTTTTAATTTGCATTTCTCTAATGGCTAGTGAAGAGCACTGGTGGCACAGAGGTTAAGAGTTTGGAAGCTAACCAAAAGGTCGGCAGTTTGAATCCACCAGCAGCTCCTTGGAAGCCGTATGGGGTAATTCTACTCTGTCCTATAGGGTTGCTATGAGTTGGAATTGACTCGACAGCACTGTTGGTTTGGTTTGGGTTTTAATGGCTAGTGATCTTGAGCATTTCCTCATGTGTGTATTAGCTGCCTGAATGTCTTCTTTGGTGAAGTGTCCATTTTTTAATTGGATTGTCTTTTTGTTGTAGAAATGTTGGATATTCCTATAGATTGTAGAGATTTGACCGTTGTCAGATTCATCGTAGCCAAAAATTTTTTCCCAATCTGTAGGTTCTCTTTTACTCTTTTGGCGAAATCTTTTGATGAGCATAAGTGTTTAATTTTTAGATCCCAGTTATCTAGCTTATCTTCTGGTTTTTTTGCATTGTTAGTTATGGTTTGTGTGCTATTTATGCCATGTATTAGGGCTTCTAGCGCTGACCCTGTTTTTTCTTCTATGGTCTTTATAGTTTTTGGTTTTATATTTAGGTCTTTGATCAATTTTGAATTAATTTTTATGTATGGTGTGAGGTATGGGCCCTGTTTCATTTTTTTACTGGATGGACATTCAGTTTTGCCAGCACCATTTGTTAAAAAGACCGTCTTTTCCCCCATTTAATGGACTTTGGGCCTTTGTCAAAGATCAGGTGACCGTAGGTGGATGGATTTACATCTGGGTTCTCAATTCTGTCCCATTGGTCAATGTGTCAGTCATTGTACTAGTACTAGGCTGTTCTGACTACTGTAGCTGTATAGTAGGTTCTGAGGTCAGGTAATGCACGTCCTCTTACTTTATTCTCTTTCTTCAGTAATGCTTTACTTATCCACGGCCTCTTTCCTTTCCATATAAAGGTAATGATTAGTTTTTCCGTCTTGTTAAAGAATGCTGTTGGTATTTGGATCAGGATTGCATTGTATTTGTAGATTGCTTTGGGTAGAATTGTCATTTTCACAATGTTGAGTCTACCTATCCATGAGCATGGTATGTGTTTCCATTTATGTAGGTCTCATTTGGTTTCTTGCAGTAGTGTTTTGTAGTTTTCTTTGTATAGGCATTTTCTGTTCATGGTTACATTCATTCCTAAGTATTTTAGTTTTTTAGGGGCTATTATAAACGGTATTGCTTCCCTGATTTCCTTTTCGTAGTTCTTTTTATTGGTGTATAGGTATCCAGCTGACTTTTGTATGTTTATCTTGTATCTTGCTACTCCAGTAAGCTATTTTTGTGACAAGGATTTTAAAGCTAAACTAGGCTAATCATATTCCTTTCTCAAAAGTTAAATTTGAGAAATGAAGAGACTGAGGCAATCAGCAGCAGTTAGCAAAGAGGTTAGAAACCAAAAAGATTATGAAGAGTTGCCATGATATATAGGCAGCAGGGACAGCCATGATGAGCTGTTTGCAAGCCTAAATGCAAAAATTCTGAATGAGCAAAAGAAAGCAATCCATAAAAAGAGGAAGGCTCAGTTCAAATGCATCTCTCTGTAGCTTTCTCTGACTCCGTTCCCAGAAGAAATAATACTCCCTTATGGATATTCTCAAGGAGCCCTGGTGGCGCGTGGTTAAGCGCTAGGCTGCTAACCGAAAGGTCAGCAGCAGTTGAAACCCACCAGCCGCTGTATAGGAGAAAGATGTGGCAGTCTGCTTCCTTAAAGATTACAGCCTTGGAAACCCTATGGGAGCAGTTCTGCCCTGTCCTATAGGGTAGCTATGAGTCAGAATTGACTCAACAGCAATGAGTTTGGCTTTTTTTGGTTTATGGATATTCTCACGATGTTATGTTAGTACCTACCACAGTGTGTTTTAGTTTTTTTTGTTTCTGTCTCTCTTCCTAGGCTGTGAGCTTTCCAAGTTAAGGACCAAGTCTTACATGTGTTTTTATCCCTAAAACCTAGTTGGCCTATCACAAGTGTTCAATAAACATTGAATTTTGTAGCTGTTAACATATTATGACCTCTGAAAATCAAATATTAAATAAAAGTAATGACTACTTTATTTTTTCCCTAGGCTTTTGAATTTTAGTGTAAACCTTGTACCCCGTGGTATACATCATCCAGTCTCTTCTGAAATTTTCCCTACTCTATCCAGGAATAAGTATGGGACTGGAGCAGTTAGCATTCAAGCTGGCAGTGCTTTGCTAGCTAAAGGTGGTATCTGCTTTATAGGAGACTTATCTTTACACAGAAAAGATAAACTTGAACAGCTTCAATCAGGTAAACAACTTTTTTTTCAAATTAGTTTTCATTTATTTAACATACAGTTTCCTCATTGTCAAGAAGTTACTTAACAGTTTTAGGCATTGAGAAATTATAATAAATGACATTTCTCATTTCAGTTTTATGAATAAAAACAGAGGAATATAGTGTGCAAATGCAGTTTTGACCTTTGTTCTAAGTTGTGCTCACACATGACTTTGTTTGGGCCAAATTTATAACTAAGGATATGGACAGATATGGGCTGAGGAAAAAGCAGTTTTGGCATACCCAGCAAGAATGTGCAGTGATGCTGAAGATACTTGGCATAGTCCCTTTCCTAACAGGACGCAGAAATGGATATCGGCCATGGTGCCAAAGCACGTCAATGAGGAAAGGAAAGTTTTTTCATCAAACGATGGAGGAACAACTAGGTAGTGTATGGGAAAAAATGAATCTTGGCTCATACCTTACAACCACACACAACAATTCATTTGAGATGGATCATACCTAAATGTAAAAACTAAAACCATGAAACTGTCAGAAGAAAATTCAGGAGAATATCTTCATGATATTCTAATGCAAAGATTTCTTAGAACGATAAAGCGCTGAACATAAAAGAAAAGAATTGATAAATTAGACTTCATCAAAACTAAAAAATTAGGCTCATCTTGGCTACATTTTGCTGCCCAAATCTGAAATCCTCTGATACCAGAATTTAATGAGTATCTGTGAGTTATAGATGCGGGCAGTGGAGACAGACAAACAAAATGTTATAGTGGTTAAAAAAAAAAGTTATGCTCATCAGAAGGCACCGTTTAAAAGGTGAATACACAAGCAGAGATAAAAGAAAGTAACTGCAATACATATATCTGACAACAGACATATATCCAGAACATAGAAACAATTTCTACAAGTCAATAATTAAAAAAACAAAGAGCCCACCCCCAAAATGGGCAAAAGACTTAAACAATCACTTCACAAAGAAAGATGCAAAATGACCAATAAGCACAAGAAAAAGTGCTCAACATCATTAGTCACCAGGGAAATGAAGTTAAAACAATGAGATACCAGCGCTCGCATGCTAGCAGCGGGGAACAAGTGCAAGATCACAGGGCCCCACTCTCAGAAGAGCCCGGCTCCTGGCTAAAAGCTCTGCCGTCACCATCTCTCAATTTTTAATAATTTTACCTTTGAGCTGTGTTTTGTAAATGAAGTTCAGTGGGACAACAGAGCTTGAGCGTAGGCAGAAGAGATACGAGCATGAGTGTGTCCACTGGGCCTTGCAGCGCCATTTCATATAGCAGTAGCGTCACTATGTGGCTTTCATAACACTCCTGTACCCTCTTCTAGTCTCTCAGACTCCCATGCAGAGCCAGCCCGCAGGAATTCAGTGCTTGTGTTCCATATCAACACAACTCAACTGAGTAGAGGGGGTGCTAATAGCACCAAGAGGCCTAGCTTTCGGTTCTGGCCAGACTTGCTTGCCATGCAGAAAGAAGGCAGTGGTGTTCTGAGTAACACAAACGATCTAGGAACCCTATCATATTCTTTCTTACTCGGTTAAAAAACCAAACCCATTGCCGTGGAATCGATTCTGACTCATAGCGACCCTATAGGACAGAGTAGAACTGCCCCATAGCTTCCAAGGAGCGCCTGGTGGATTCCAACTGCACATTTTCCAACCACTTACGCTGAAATGATAATATCGGCGGAAAAGGAAGGCTAGAGCAACCCATAGTTCCTTTTCCTTCCAATCCTTCCTTACTCATCAGTAAGCCAGAGGTAGATAAACAGTGTTGGTGGAATGCATGCCTATCAGGAAATAAAATAAAAACAGTTCTGTACATCATTCCACTGTTCAGGTAGGAACGACATACATATGCATGTGCAAGCTACAAAATTTCAGTGATTCTGCATGTGAGTTAAATGCTCATATATTTGCATTTAAGACTGGCATTACACAATATATAGATGAATGGTAAAATTCTTGCTAATATATTAAATTTTTATTTATTTAGAATGACGATTGCCCCTATTTTTATAATAAAATATTTTTAAAGGAAGACACTTCATATATATTTTTTTAATGGCAGTTTTTTTTTCTTGCTTTTTGAACAAGAGGCCCATGTTTTCATTTTGCACTGAGCCCTGCAAATTATGTAGCTGGCCCTGACTACTGGAATGACAAAAATTAAAAAGATTGACAGAAACAAATGTTGGCAAGGATGTGGAGCAACTGGAATTACCATATATCTGGTGGAAGTATAAAATGCTACAATCATTTTGCAAACTGTTCTGGCAGTTTCTATAAAGTTAAATACACATTTACCCTATGACTCAAGAGAAATAATAGACATGTACACAAATGACTGTTATCATGAATGGAGATAACTAATTTGAGAAATATTTGGCAGGCAAACTCCTAGGAATAGACTCAAATCCTTAGGTTGAATGGATATAAGGCGTGCAGGAAGGATATAATGTCTTCACATTTTTTGCTTGGGTTTTGAGTGGATGGCTGGTGATGCCATCAAATGTGACTAATGAACACAGGAAGAGCCATTTTCAGGGGAAAACAATGAATTTGGTTTTGAGTATGTTGAATTTGAGATGTATTCTCCAGTAAGTATAATTCATATTCTCTCCCAGTCTTTTCCTCTTTCACACTTCCATGGATGTCCCTCTTACCATTTTTTTTCCACGTAAAAGAACATTACTTACTTTCAGCCTCTCTTGTAAACCTGCACTGTATGACCAGTCTCCTAGTCCTCTGCCAACTCCACCCAGATGCCCAACCACAATTCTGGCTACGTGCTTTAACAGCTGGTTCTCACCAAGCCATGGGCACATAAACATTCACATATTTGTCTTGCCTTGTTCTTTTTTAGGGCAGATGATCTAATTTAGCCATATCTTGTAAAACAATTAAATTAACTTGTCTTCACTATTTGAAGTTTAGACAGCAAAATTCTATATAATATGTTATTAATTTGTAGGTATATACATCAAAATGAACTTAAGTAACAAATGGGTAATGTCTTTTGACTTAGTTCTGGAGAGCAGAAGCATTACAGTTTACATCCCGGGAAAGAAGTTTGGGGATGATATCGATCAACAAATGACTTTCCCAGTTCAGTGCAGTTTTTGGTCTTTTGTTGATATGGATTCATCATCAAGGAGAAATGCGCAGAAAACCAGCACTCTAATCGGTCAGATGGTAAGGTATTTATTGTTCAAATATTTCCCAGAGAATGGATATTGGTGATGGTTGCACAACATGACTAATGTAATTGATGTCACTAAATCATACACATTGAAAACGTTAAATTGGCAAATGTTGTGTTATATGTATATTTACAACAATTAAAAAAAAATTTCCCAGGGAATTTAGTCACAAATTTTAATATGTATTCTTAGTATTTTTGTTATTAACCCATTTCTATTCTTTATGCACTGCTAGAACTAAATAATGATGCAGCTATTTAAAATTTTTCATGTTTTTCAGTCATGCAAATCAGATGTCTGCTCACTAGCAATTACTATTTGAATAGGTAGTTGGGGAATCCTTCATGAATAATGTGTAATAAAATACTCAATAAAGATTATTTGTAAAAACCGATCACAACGAAGTTCCCATGCTATTAAGGAATCACTTGTATGTATTTATAATTAATTGTTATTTCCAAATTGCTTGTGAAAATCCCAGAGTTTGCCTTGCCTTTGACCTCTTGGTTTGATGTAGGATTGCAGCCTGATTCCAGCTAATCTTGTGGAGGCATTTGGGTTATTGATTAACTGCAATGAATCATCTCCTTGCAACCCACTTCTCCCCACCTTGCAACATACTCTAAAGAAAGCCACTGACCCCGAAGGGCTGCTCTATGTAGCTTCTGAACAGTTCACAACTGAAGATTTCAAGAAGGTACTCAGATCAAGTGATTACCCAGAGTACTTGTGCTAATGTTTCTCAGTTTAAAACTAGATAGAACATCACTTTGAGCATTCAGGGTTTTTTTTTTTTTGTAATTTAGGATTCTTTTTTCCAACTTGCTTCTAGTTTTTAATCATCTTAAGGGTATTATGTAGAAACTATTTAGGATTATAATTAAATAAACAACTGAGTAAGGAAATGGATATTTAAATGTTGAGTTTATTCTTTGTACCACTGTTCAAATCACCATAGCTTAAAGAATCTCAATGAAAAGAAAACCAAAATAGATTACTTTTATAGACAATTACGATGAGAGGCCACATAAGATGTACAGTTATTTGCATTTTACTGACTATTCAAAGGGATTTCCTTTATGTGGCTGCTGAAACCCTGGTGGTGTAGTGGTTAAGATCTATGACTGCTAGCCAAAAGATCAGCAGTTCAAATCCACCAGCTGCATCTTGGAAACCCTACGGGACTGTTCTACCCTGTCCTATAGGGTCGGATTTGACAGCAAGGAGTTTGGTTTTTTTTGGTCAGAGTTCTGACTTCATGGAATATCTAGCGTGACTCATGAACCCATTTCAATGTCCTGACATTATGAAAACGTGTGGCATATTCAGAGAACCTGAGAGTAGATGATATAAATTTAGTAATGACTCTCATAGCTATTAAAGAAGTATTTACAACTGAAACTCTAAATATTTACTATGCAGAAATCTGTCCTCAGGCAGGGGATATTGGGAACTGGGAGTCCATGGGTCACTAAAAAATTTTTAACACCTGCCTTCCTTGCAAGCAAATTGTCTGGGACTTAAAAAATGAATTATGAGCATTGTTTACTCACATAGATTAGAATAGAAAAAAGACAATATTTATGATACAATAATATTTTTTAGTATATAAGAAAAAAAGTAGTTAGTTTGTAGGAATTAGGGTACTAAATATAGATACAGTAATGACCCAGAGAAATTTCTGCCCAATTTTTTCCTGAAAAAAAAAAAATCTATGCATTTACTAATTCGTCAACAGGTACTTACTGAATATATGTATAAGCCTATTCCTGTCTTTTATACTCCCACAAAGACAAACTTTCTTCTTTAGTTTATAGTTTGAGACAAAAACAAGATACATGAAACAATTAAGGCAAAATTTAAGTGCTAAGCTTGGGTGGCGCTAACTCTAAGTATTTTAGGAACTCAGAAAGGAAGATATCAATGTAGAACGCAAGAATTGGGAACACTTCATGGAGGAGGCGGGAATTTAGTTAAACCTTAAGGTAATATCTGCTGTGTAAACTTTCAGCAAAACCACAATAAAACATTATTTAAAAAAGGAAGGATGGAAAGGAAGTATGGAGGGCCCATGGAAGAAAGTTATAAGGAAGTAAACGGTTAAAGAATTAAATCTAATCAAAAGGGAAATGAGCTTCTGAGGGAGTTAAGGCTTTCTCCCACTGGAAGTAATAATATGATAATCATTCAAATATATTGCACAGAAAATTTCTGTGCTGGGAGAAAGAGGTTACTCTGTGTGAACTTTAATATTCTTTACAAGTAGATTTTATGACTCTTAAGTGCTCTATGACTTCAGTATGGCCCCATATATTTACTCTATTTTTATATAAATAAAATATGCAAACTCTTAAAATGTGAATATACTTTGGATTTTTTGTAATAAAGATTCCATAATAAAGCATGAATCTCTTAAATTTTCATACATTCAATTTAGCTACTGGCTTTTGCAAAGAATTTGAATGTAGAATTCAGCTTGGAGGCAGAAAGAATGGTCCATGGCTATTATCTAGCGAGTCGCAGAATCAGAACAGATTCTACATGTGGATCAAAACTGTCAGCATCTGCATTAAAATATTTGTAGGTATTTAAGATTTTAAAGCCAGTATTGACTTTTAATTGATGTGTTTAACTTATTTATCTGCTTCACTTGTTTGTTTGTTTGATTGCTGGTCGGTTGGTTTACAATCTACCTTATTCAAAAGAATTTTAGGTGGCTTAACAGTTCCTCTTGTTATATTGCTAAATCATTTGAACCTCCAATAATTTGTTTTCACTAAATTAATTTTTACTGGATCACTGTATGAGATTTGTCTGAGAAAATACTCTGATTTCAAATGCAAATGATTGTTTTTTAAAATGTGGCTGTTCATATTCCAGGAATTTTGTAGACTCTAGAAAAAATTCTTCTTGAATATATTGTTCCTTGTACTTTTAGATATTTTAACAGACTCTTATTGTTTCTGGAAAAGTTTTAAAAAAACCAACTAATTTTTATTATAAAAGTATGGACATGGTAAAAGGAAAGTCTAAAATAAAATGAGTAAAGTGTCCTGCTAACCCTACCCATTCCTGTTCCACTCCCTAGAGATAATCACTGTTAACAGTTTTGTGTATCCTTTCAGAAATTATCCATTAAAGTACAAGCATATACATATATATAATTTAATATGTCATATATGTTATTTTATTTTATTTTAATTTTATTTAAATATGTAATATTTGAAATGAATACTTTATTTAAATATATAAACATATACATATATATTTTATCATAAGGCTAGATATATTTTTTTTGCCTAAATGGAAGCATGGATGGTATATATACCATACTCTCAGCACAGAAAGAACTATCTCATTCTGTTTTAATAGCTCCATCAGTTTTACAGTGTAGGGCTGTACCATAATTTAAATAGTCCCCTACTGATATACTATTACTTCATTTGATATAGTATTAAACTATAATTGCAAACAAATTATGAAGTAGGACCAGGAATAAAATAATCCACTAAATAAGTAAATATCTTGTTATACTGCAATATAAAATAAGAAATAAATTGTGAAGTAGAACCAGGAGTAAACTAGTCCTCTAAGTAAATAAATATCTTGTTAAAATTGCAATGTAAGGTAAGACAGATGAAGAACTGGCAGGAAGTATCAAGTAAGGGTATATAAGAGATTGATATGTTTAGGTAAGTTAATTTCCCCAACTATATATTTATCTTTGTAAAGTTGAAAAAAAAATGCTAAGTATCAGTCAAGGTAGAAATCAACTCTTTGATAATAAATGTTTTAAAGTGGGAAATGGAATTGTAAATGTGTTGCATTTTCTGAAGTAATCTTTAAAATGATCATATTATTCTAGCTTAAAAGCTTTTAAAGTTGTATTTTCTCATAATAGTGTTTTTTCTCTGTAGCAAAAAGATATTTTGTATTTAAACTCACAGAGCCTCAGTTTACATTTGACTATATTGATCCAAAAAAATGCAGAGTTAATGTTAACATGACAACTCTACTTTTTCACATTGTAGAAATAAACACTGGGAGTGGTGGTGAGGTTTATGAAACCAGGAAAGCAAATGAACCACTACTCAGAAGAGTCATAAGCCCTGACTTTTTCTCTCACTTCTGTAGGCAGGTGCCTAATAATACCATCTTTGCTCTTCTAGAGAAGTGAAGCTGAATAATACTTCCCTTTCCTGGAAAGGGTCTATGCGTATTCTGCCCTGGTCAACATTTTTAGAAGGGGCTTGGATGAGGACTTCAAGAACATGAAAAAAATTTATAAATAAGCTGGAAAGATTTTCACAGGCTCAAATGATGACCTTAGTCTAAAAGATAAAAGTTAAAAGGATAAATGTAAAGTTCTCAATTAGAGCCAAACTCTTAGCATAAGTGTGAATGTGTAGGAAAAGATGATATGACTTAATATCAAAAGATATGAAAGCCTTGAAGTTTCTTTTTTTTTTTTTTTACATTTAAGAGTAAACAGTGTAACACGGTTGTTAATAATACTGAGGCTTGGGGTTGTATTAACAGAATATAATATGAAGAGCAAGAAAATGCTAGTTCTGCCTCTACTCTGCTAGTCAAATCACAGCTGTAGTAAGGTACTGAAAAGTATTAGCTAACTCTGGTCACGAGGAGAGCAGCTAGGATGGTGAGGTACCTGAAAATTATTCTCATAACATATTAAAGGAACCAGGAATATTCGAGAAAAGAAAACACGGGGCAACTGTAAGAGCTGTCTTTGAGTGTTTGAAGAGCTATCACATTTAAGAAGGATTAGGCTTGTTCTGTTGTCCCAGAAGACAGAACCAAGGACCAATGGGTAGAACTTGCAGTGAAGCCAATTTTAGCTTACATTTATATAAAGTTTGTAGGTTGGTCGCAAAACTTTCAGATGGCTTTACTTATTTGAACTCACAATAACCGTATAAATTATTATTATCCTTGTTTTATAGCTGAGATTTAAAAAAAAAAAAAATCCTCAGAACTTAAAAGATTTATACAGTCACACAGCTAGTAAATGCTAGAGACTCACACAGGTTTTCTGATTCTCAAATCCAGCAATCATTCAAGTAGTATATCACCTCTGCCTTACTGAAAGCTCAAGGAAGATCCTTCAGGTAATCAAAGCTTGTTTTAAAAACAGAAAAATTTTAAAGAAGAATGGATTGCCTCATGAAGTAGTGAATCCTAGGAGAAGTTCAGTATGGACTGAAGGAGTAGCATGGGATGCTGTAGAAGAAATTCAGTTATCTGTGGGATTCTGAACTCCTAAGATCTTTTCCAACACCGAAATTCCAAGATTCTGTGAGGACTTCAGCTAGATGAAGAACTGGGAGAAAACCTCCAGGATGTCTCTAAGAGATAAATATATTTAGTGAGGTTAATTTCCCCAACTGTGCATTTATCGGAACAGAACTTGGGGTGGTGGGGGTGGAGGGTAGAATGATAACGGTAAGCCAGGGTGGAAATCAACTCTTTGTCAGGATACATGCTTTCTGGAATAATCTATTCAAATTAGTAGAAAAAAAAATATTTTAAAAAGAAAATTTTTTTAAAGTAAGAATATGTTGATCTTTAAGGTGTGGCTAATGTTCATATATGTCTTGGTTTGGAGCCCAAATATGTATTATTTTTATAATATCAACCTATTTTGATTGGGATTAATTTTTTTTTTTAGAGTTTCCCTATCTGAAGCACATGCTCGACTGAACTTAAGGAATCAAGTGCTTAAAGAAGATGTGCTAATTGCAGCCTTATTATTTGAAACATCTCTCACATTAAAATATGGTAATTTATTAAATTCCTAATGATCACTACAAATAATTTTATTTAAACAGGAAAGCTGGTAATAGGGAACCGAAGGTCCAGAAGGGGAGAGTGTTGACATGTTGTGGGGTTGGTTACCAATGTCACAAAACAATGTGTACTAATTGTTTAACGAGAAGCTAGTTTGTTCTGTAAACCTTCATCTAAAGTACAATAATAGAAAAAATTGGAGAGGCTATAAATTTTTTTTAAAAGACAGAAGATACTAAAGCATTATGTGCAGTAGAGAGAAACCTAACAATGCTACAGAAAGGGGAAGATCAAAAGAGTGAAATCCGTAAAAAAACGGAGCAGATATGGGAAGGATCACTTACTCATTTTACAGGAGGAAAGAAAATGGATACAGAGCAAGGTAAGTGTGTAGATTTGATTATGTGAAGGTGAGGGGGGCTCCATCATATATACTACTCAAACTCATCAGCTGAAAATGAAAGATTTGAGAAGATTGGAATATAACAGTCATTGTGGAGGACAGAAGAACAAGTTTACTAGAAAAACTCAGGAGGCTTGCCAGGCAGTGTTGAGTGCCTGAGGTGAATGATTGGGAGCCATTTAAAGTGAAACCAAGAAATGCCAATTGCGTGCTTTTCTGCCCAGCAGCCTGAGTGCAGGCACAAAGTGAATGGCCAGGTTCACGCAGGGCTGAGGTTTTATTAGGTGAGTGTGGTAGAATGTTGCAGATGGGAAAGGAGTGGAAAGATTTGCAAGGGAAGGACTCAGTCTGGTTAAAGAGCAAAGTGAATTAGCAGGAGCCAATTGGAGGTCTCGGAAATGAAGACCTGGCACATTTGAGCAAGAGAGTCAGAAGCACAGGAAGTAGTGTAAGGGAGTGGGGCATTGGAACTGATGGTTTTGAAGGTTAAGTTTCTGGCAATGTCAGTCTCATGTGACTGTGGGAATGTCTGGCTTAAGTGGAGGGAGAAAGGTTTCAGGACATTAGGAAGTCAGGCGTTAAACAGGTCATTTAAATGGAAATCACCAAATGGTAGGAATTAGGGAAGATGGTAAGATTGTGAGCCAAGTACTGACAGCTGGTTGTTGACATCACTGTGGAAAGGGAAGGGTGGTTAAGCCAGGTGGCATGAGCATCAAAGGAGGGATTTCTACCGAGAAGGAAGCAGGAGAAAGGTCTGGAAGCAGCAAAAAGGCAGTAAATCAGGCAAGGATTCTGTCCTCTAGCACTAAGGTATGTGGAGTTTTCTGAGAAAAAGCAGTTTCCCTTTGGAGCCACAGGAAAGGCAGCATTCTCAGAGGACAGCAAACTCTCAGGTAAACCAGTGAAAGGCGGCAGTCTCAGCAGAGTCTAGGGCTATTTAAATGTTTAGTGATGAGGCAGCTCTAGGAAAGTAGGAACTGTCTACCTGGCTCTCAGTTGTACTCCTGGCCTGCCATGTTTCAGTACTCATTCAATTAATTAATGAAATATAGACCCTCGTGGCGTAGTGGTTAAGAGCTATGGCTGCTAACCAAAAGGTGGGCAGTTTGAATCTACCAGGCGCTCCTTGGAAACCCTATGGGGCAGTTCTACTCTGTCCCATAAGGTCGCTGAGTCGGAATCGACTCGACGGCAGCAGGTTTGGTTTGGTTATAGAATATAAAGCTTGACTCCTACAGTTATCAATGGTTTTTAATAACTGAGAAATGTACTACTGTGATGTCTTCATCCTTGATCACTCACTTAGCCTTTATCAGGTAAAAAGATATTTCCTATCTTCCAACACCTCTTTCCCTACTTCTACCATCTCCTCACATCACTTTTCAGCTTCAAAACTGTGTAATGAATGCTTCAATAGATCACAAATCTTAAAAGTTTGCAAACTTTAAAATTTTAAAGATCAGCATCTTTCTTCCATTGGTATTTACACATTTACTGAGCCATTAGTTTCAAATTAAAGTCAGCTTTAAATAATTATTATTGAAATACTCTATTGAATAGGTCGGGACTTAATTTCTTAACTTTCATTACAGAGATTTTGGCTGACAATGTGATTTTATATTTAGCATTTTACATGATCCAATTACCCTGTGTTTCCTTCTTTGTTTAGGGGCTGCTCTGTTTTGTGTTGCTCCAAATGCAGTATTTCCATCTGAACTGTACAACGAAGAACACTTAGAGCAAAGGGATAGCTATCTCACTCAGTGCTTACAACAGCTCCAACAGTTTATTGCCACATACGGACCTGGGACAGCTGTTTTCTCTAGCGATGAGTAAGCAATTTGAGGACTTTTTCTTCAGTCCTATTTAAACAATGGAAAGTTTGAGCATATGAAAATGATTCTGAAGTAATGCTTCAGGTAAAACTGTGCAGTACATTACAATGCCATTAAAAAAATAACATTATGGTGCCCTCAAAAGTAATGGCTAACAGGAGAAAAACTAATCTAAACCCCTAAAACCAACAGCAGAACTTTTAAAACTGAAGAGAAACTTTAAAACTTAGAACATGGTGATAAGGGTTGCCAAGGAAAATTCTATTAAAAACTTTGGGTTAGCCGAGTGTACCGGTGGCAAACAGATAAAAACACAGAGAATGTTGCAGAACAATGTGAAAATACTTTATGATGTAGTTCACTCTATTTGTCACAAGATGGCAATAACACTTTAAACTAGAATGTTTTACTTACAAATGATGACTTTGCAGACTTTATTAGAGTGACATGTCCATTATATAAACATAGTTTTAAAAGTCCTGAATATGAAAGTCAGGAAGTGTCTTGGCAATTTCATATTTTTACGTTACGTTAAATGAAAAATATCATTTGCATTGAAGCAAAAAGCGAGTAATTTACAAATTGGCTCTTCAAATCTAACTGGCTACAAGAAAGGGCTCAAATAGCAAGAAAAATAAAATTGCAAACTCAGTCTTCATTTTTGGAGGGGAAGGTTATCTGCTGAAGGTAGGGAACATCACGAGAAAACATACCTATCTTGTAAATTTTTTGGTTTCACTTCCTAAATCTTTAATAATATTCTCATTCAAAAGCAAAGTGTAATTACAAAACTGCGACTTTATTAACAAGACATTACAGTGCTTCAATTCTTTTGAAACTGACACTTTGTAAAGTTGGGCAGCTCTCCCACTCACTCTACAAAATCGTCAGCAATTTACTATTTTATTTCCTAGTCATTCATTCAACAAATATTTATTGAAAACTTAATAGTGCCAGTAACTATATAGCTGTTTTCAGAAGGCAAAGCTAATTTTTAAAAATAAAATCTTTACGTATTACAATTCTACTCTTAGCTTACAGGTTACAGAAGGAAAAACCTTTACCCATAATGGGCAACTGCACTGCTATTTAACATTAATGGTGTTAGAATATTCCAATGAACTATCTTTCAAGTACGATAGCAGGTTCTAATGGGGAGGCCAGATAAGGGCTTTTTAGTTGTCTAGTATGGAGCAATTAGGACCTCTCCAGAGAATCACTACCCACAAATGAGCTTGTTACTGACAAGAACATTATATCCTGAAAAAAAAACCAACCAAACCCACTGCCATTGATTCCAACTCATATTGACCCTATAAGTACATTATAAACAGGTCTGACTAGTGACTTTGAGAATGGAGCCATTTACAAACTTGAGATATAGTTTTTAAAAATAACTTTATTGGCCAGCAAATATTAAGTATCCAAACATGTATTTTCTACAGAATTATTGTGAAATATGGTTATCAATGTTAAATAAAATATTAATTTTATTCACTCGCTTCTATTCATGTCTTCATGACCAATTCTTCATTTTTCCTTCCCAAAATGTTATATGCCACACCTTAAAAAAAAAAAAAAAATCCACAAAATCAGAAACCAACAGTAGAAAGCATTCTATACTTAAAAAACTAAGTTCTCATATAATCTCAGTATTCAAGAAGTACCCCTCAAAAAATTAATATTTAGAAAAGGAAATTAGACCCCTGACATGCAAAGGCACTCTAACAGATAATGGCCTCAGCCCTCTGGAGTTTATCAATACTCGTTAACTACTGGTAGGTGTGGTTGCTTGACAAATCATACCAACTTACTTGAGGCAATGAAGAATTCTTAAACACCATGGTTAAGGACCTGAACATTTATCCACAGTTACCTATAGGCTGACAAGACAGAACATTTCACCCACTTTGATAAAAAATTGCACATTTCAATAATTCACGTAATATAAATTACTAGCACCTCAGTTTTAAGATACTTTTCTTCAAAGAAACCCTCAGATGGGTAAACGGCAAAAAGTAATTTAAATCATCATTGTGCCAGTTATTGAACCTATCTATGTAAAAAATACACATTTCAGGTATTCTTCTCCAGGTACAGTACCCAAAAAAAGCACACAATAACTTACACATAACTTTCGGTTCCACCTGTAACATGCAGTTGTGGTCCTAATGGTTTTTTCATAGCCATCCTCTTTGACAAATTTTTAGAAAACATTTATCATGATGATCTTTATACATCTTCAAAACTCAGGCTTTGCAGCATCTGAAAATTAAATATTTCCTTGTAAATTCTCATTTGTACCTGCATCTGTTTGGCATCTTATATGTTAAGGAGTGGTCTATTCATTTTTATCAAAAACCATAAACACTCATACTTCATCAACCTTCCTGACTCCAACCCACTTTACTAGCATCAGGAGATTATATAGTAAAGGAGTAATTTTCTGTCTGTTGTTCAGTACATCTCTTAATGGAACAAGGGAATAATAGACTTGCTGCTTAATTTTGGTAGTCTAAACTGCCAAGCCCAAACTTTAAAAAGTCTGCAATGATTTGAGTTAGTCCCTTTGGTCATTTCTGGCTTATTGTGCAAGTATCTCCAAAACGATTAAAAAAAAAAAAAAAAGTTTCTATATTCTGGTTTTAGAACTAGGTAGTATGCTCAACCTTAAATGCTTTCCTGAGCTTATATGAAAGCTAAAGCAAGTTACATTCTTGACACTGCACAGAATTACAAATACGTATCTGAGGATTTCTGGTGATTGAGTACACAGTATTTCCAAAGTTAACACATTTCTAAGTTTGGATACTGTGCTTTATCAGTAAAAGTAAATTCACGGCAGGAAAAAAAAAATTAGGAAAATATTTTAATTTTATTTATAATTATACAGTTGTCCCACATTTTGCTGATTAATTCATTGCCGTTGATTCACAGTACCCTAAATAATTCCATAAATGATCTTTCCAAGCTGGAAATGGTAGTCATTACCTTAGCCAAGAAAAATGATATATAAACATTTATAATATTCTTCACTGTGGCAGTATGGATTTTTAAGACATGTTGTTTCTAATGGGTACCCAGCCATTGATTTTCTGCCTCAGAGTTTGACAAGAATGAAATATGAGCTAGGTTAAAGGTTATAAAAAAGTGTGCGGACCTCCACCTAAAACATTACATGGCAAATCTAGTATAGTCAGTTCCAGGATATGTTACGTTGGCATCATTACTGGACACACTTCTATAGAATTAAGTCCCAAGCTGCCTAAACACGCTTAGCTACAGCAAAGGGCCACAGATCACTCCTGCATACTCTAGAAAGATAAATCATTGAACCAGGGAGCCACTGGGAATGATTTATGAAGACATATCAAAAGTTGCACCTTAGCAAAACAATTCATCTTTCTCAATTCTTGAAATGCTGAAATATTTCACATCATCGGTATGATGAATAAAAACTATTGGTTTAATATATGCATCAAGGAAATTGCAAAACAATTACACACGATTATATTTTTTAAAAGCTCAAAACAAAAAAACATTTAGAGGTACATATGTATAATTAAACTGTTTTCCACCCCACTCCCCCTAAAATCCAAGGTACTGATGACGACGAACACAAAACCTCAGTTGGTGAGTACCTCGGGATGGGAGGCAGGGGTTGGAATGTGGTATTAGCAATATTCCAGTTTTTAAGTGGCTTGGTAGGTTCGCTTGTATTTATTTTTATGCTTCAGAACTTACATTCATTACCAATATTTTATCATTTGAAATTAAAAAAAAAAATTTAGCAGTGAAAATAGAACTGAAGCCACTTAGGACTCAAAGATAAGGACAGACCAGTAATACCAGATATAAACTACTTTAAGCCATCACATTCCCGCTGTTAACCACTGGCTCAGAAGAAGCAAGTATCTCAAATGGAGGGTGGGGAAGCGGAATCACATTAATTAACCAAATCTCATCAGTGAGGTAATCATTTTTTTCAATTCGTTTTTTGAGTAGGTAACAAGTTCTTACATCCTCCTGGCTGTTGAGTTTCTTCTGTACCACTTCCAGAAGTTCACCTCTCTGTATATGCAAGTGCCCACATGGATAGTAGGCATTTAAGGCCTAAGGGTCTTCTATAGGGTGCGTACTGCGTTTAGAGCAAATTTACAATGAAAGATTCAGGAACAAGGGCCAAAAAGCAGTAGCTGCCTAAGTACCCTTTCTACCAGTGCCTAGGCCAGGGCTCACTATTTGCAGTTTGTGTTCGTCACCTGTGTTGTATTAACATCAAAAGCAATCACAGTTAAGTGAGGTGGCCTTCATATCTATGAGATAATCAGGCACTCTTTATAACATGCCCTCTTATTAAGGAAAAAAGCCCATCTAAGGGAGCCAGAAAACCTCAAAAGTCGCAAACACATCAGGTTTACTGGGGACACAGAGCATGAAGCCATCGGTCGTTCCTTCCACCCGCCTCAGGTTCACTTGAGTCACAGAAAGCCCCTGATTAATCTGCGGTGAGGACCATCGAAACTGGTGTTTATTATGGAGAAACGTCACCCAAGACTTGTAGGTGGAAACTCAAAACGCGACTGCACAAATGGTGCGGATGTCGGTCTGGCACCCAAAGGGAGGGAAGGTCCGTTAACGCGTCAATAAGGGAGAGTCCCCTGGGCCACCCCGCGGCGGGTCAAACGCTCGGCTGCGCCTGGGCAAGGGGCGGAAGGACGCGGCGCCCCGCGCCCTACAAAACGATGAGCCCGGTCTCAGCACCCACGGAGCGGGAGGCCCAGAGGCAGGCATGGCCCCAGTGCGGAGTGGGGTTCGGGACAGGAGGAACTAAAACCGCAGGGAGTCCCACCTTGAGAGCCCGGCTACGGTACCCGCGGGCTCCGCCGCCGACGCCCGGCCGCAAGGCTGAGGGCGCCTCCACAGCCCTCCCCGCTCGGCAGCCCGCCGGAAAGGAAGAGCCGCGCTCTCAGACAGCACCGAGGCGTTTCCGGCAGAGCCCCGCCCCTTCCGGGCCTGGACCCGCCCCTTTCGAGCCGGACGTGCGCGTGGTCTGGAGAGCGTCGGGCGCGGTCTCGACCGTCGCCTTTATCCTGGGCTAGATTTGCAGGCGTTGGCCCGCCTCAGGTTTATATTGGGGGGATTTGGAACTTCTATAGAGGCTTTTAGTAGTCATGAGTATCTCACCTCACTCATGAGTATTTTCATTGAATATGCAAATATTCCAATGTGAATATCTTATAATAGAGTTACTATGAGACAGAATTGACTGGGTTTGGCTTGGTGTCTTATAATAGTACAAAGGAGAGAAAATGCTCTAAAAAAAAGAAGGATCTCCCATCCTTAGTACATTGCTTGGTCTTCTACTCCCTTATAATTTTTAGTATTTAAAAAACTGGTGGTGTTGGGCAACCCAGGTTTAGAGTAAGCGTTCTGGAATCTGCCCCTCCACTCCCGAAGAACCCGTTACCAGAAAAAAGAGAAGCTGTTATATTTTTTCTATATTATATAGATAAGCTACCTTGTTATTTTTTATAATAATAGAGGATTTTTTAAAAAAAGCATTTATAAAGCAGTTACCTACATTGTTTATGAGCATGTTCTGTTACTGATTTTCGGTCCCCGTATTTTATTGCTCTTTTTTTCTCTTGATCATTATATTGTAAGTACTGATTGCAAAGCAGTAGGCTTGGTGCTGGAGGAAACAGGTTTATGATCTTATGGGCAGAAAGAATACACATAAGAGCATGTAATTAACTGAATCAGTAAAGGACAGGTCATCTCTTTTAAAAACTAGGCATCTCAGAAACTGATACAAAATTCAGTACAAAATATGTTTGCCTCAAAGAAACATACGGTATGAAAATTTAAACCCAGCAAAACAAATTGATGTGATTATGCTCACTTTACAAAAGGATTTCTCCGTTTACTGAGTGATTTACAGGGGTTTAAAAATCTTTTGTTTTGGGCCCTGAGTGGCTTGGGCCTTAGCCTACAATCCCAAATTCTGTTTGCTGTCTGGATCTTACTCCGTAACCCATTTTGGAACCTGTGCATCCACCTCCCCTAGACCTTTGCCTATGGCTGTGTGGGCAGCTGTGGGAGCCACATTTACAGAAAGGTGTAGAGGAGGGTTAGTTTGGACCCTGAATCCAAGATGCTATGGCAACAATTTAGGCAAGCTTGGTGCCACTGAGCCCAGGGCCATATGAGAAGGAATTGGAGACCAACATGGACACTTAAACCTTGCCACAGTGCCCTCCAGAATAACTCCTGAGGTGCTTACAGCTTTCTGTTGCGTCTCTCTGCTGGTGCTCACGTGACATTCATCAACCTCTGCTAACAAGAGTTACCTGAGCTGGAAGGTTAGCCTACAGAAGGGACTACGACCTTAAAACTTAATATGTTCTTTCTTTAGATTAGATGCAATTAAATTCCATAGCTAAAATTTAGGTGTTCCTAAAACTGCACAGCCACCTGTTTACAGATTATCATTTTAAGTTTGTTACTTTAATTGATTACTAATATCATTCATTCATTAACTGTGTTTCGACTTCAAGTAACAGAATATGCAACTAAAGTGACTTTCAAAAATGAGAAGTATGTTGTTTCATATTATAAGAGATCCAGGTGTAGGTGATTCTAAACTTAAAAAAAAAAAAAGAAAAACCCAGTTGCCGTCGAGTCAATTCTGACTCATGGCAATCCCATGTGTTGCACAGTAGAATTGTGCTCCATAGGTTATTCAAGGCTGTAATCTTTCAGAAGCAGATTGCCAGTCCTTTCTTCCAAGGTCCTCTGAGTGAGTTCAGAGTGCCAGCTTTTGGCTTGTAGTCAAGTTCGTAGCTGTTTGTGCCACCCAGGGACTCCAGACCAAACCCAATTGCCTTGAAGTTGATTCTGACTTATGGTGATCTCTTGTGTTACATAGTAGAACTGAGCTCCATGGGGTTTTCTTGGCTGTAATCTTTACAGAAGGAGGTTGTCATCCCTTCAAGCTTTTGATTAGTAGCTGAGTACAAATTGTTTCCTCCACCCAAGGACCCAAAGTGACTCTAAAACAACAACAAAAAAATCAGTTGCCATCAAATTGACTCCAACTCATGGAGACCCCATGTGTGCAGAATAGAACTATGCTCCATAAGGTTTTCAGTGGCTGTAACCTTTCAGAAGTAGATCCCAGGCCTTTCTTCCTAGTCTGTCTTAGTCTGGACTGACAGAGGGGTAGTGGCTGTGCGTGAGGTGCACTGGCCAGGAATCGATCCCGGGATTCTTGCATGGAACGCGAGAATTCTACCACTGAACCACCAATGCCTCACAAATAAATGGATAGTGGATCTATATGTGTTGATCTGGAAACTTTTATTTTCAAGATATATTAAATTTAAAAAGCTAGGTGCAGAAGATGATTAGTAAGATCTTATTTTTGGTTAAATAAAAAGCATACATTTATATGATTGTCTACACATAGAGTATTTTTGAGAGGCTGCAAAAGAAACTCTTTACAACGCATTATTCTAGGGAGTAAAAACTAGGATTTGTGGGGGTGATCTTTTTATTTTACACCATCCTATACTATTTGGATTTTTACTATTTGTATGCACTGATTTTATAATTAAATTAAAAACTAATTATTAAAATAGTGCGTTTTCTCTTCGGGCTACAAAAATAGACCATTTTTCCCTAGGAGAGGACAGTGAATGAGCAGAATTCTAATTCTATGTAATTGAAACATTTTAACAGTAGAGAGATACTTGCTTTTTTTTTTTTTAAATAAAATTTTATAGAAGTTAAAAAAAAGAAAAACACCATTTCTAGGATTTTCCCCCTTAGCTCACCACTCTCTTCTTCATCTCCCGGCTGGCATTATGAAGCGTATTCAGCTTTCTCCGGTAAGGAGTCCATCCCTGGGGTGACCGCACATTGCGGAACCAAGTTAGTGCTGCCGTTTGCAAATACAACTAAAACCTCTTCAGGGGAAATGTTTCATGGTTTAAATATCATATAGCAGTTTACAAAAAGTAACTATTAAAAAAATAGTCATTGTTAGATAATATAACCAGGATTACCCTAGAAAGCTTACATTTTATAGATACATGTGGATTAAGGACATATACATATTATTTTCCTTATAAGCTGTCATAACCTATGGTCTGCACTTACATGTGTAAATCTCATTAGTAAATTAATACATTTGGCCATAAGTCTTTTTCCTATTAGTGAATGATTTGGAGAAGCACCCAGGTCCCCTAGATCTTTGCAGCAGAAAATCCGGTTGGAACTGGAAGGAAGTTGGCTGTAATAGCCATATCCTTGTATTTTCCCTTGCTCAAAGGTAAGCATGTCAAAATACAGTTAATGCAAGAGAACTGTAAATGATCCTAGTCATAAATGCATGACGTTTCTATATAAGATTTTTACCTCAGGCAAGATTATTTTTAAACATAATATTGACATTGAAATAATCATAGCATTTATACCTCTCATCAAGGTTTAAGTCCCAAATCTGTAAAAAATACATTAAATTGCCAGGAAATAGGGCATTGATCTGAATGAAAGTTAACTCTGAAACACTTGAAATACATGAACTTTTCTGAGATAATTTTGGTGAAAATTACCTAAATTACTTATGATTTCTGCCTGGATCTAAAATAATGAGTTAGCCACAGTGGCTTTAATTGTGAATGTGAGACACTAGGTTTTCCTTTTCTGTTTAAAAATTTAACTTTTACGGTAAGAATCAATTTTGCAAATCACTACTTATATCCTATCACAAATTCTGAATGTAATGGAATGTTTTAAAATTATTCAAGCTAGCCAATGGGATCTGAGAGGAAGTCTGCTAGGAGACTGCAGGGAGTGTTCTTCTTTGGTGAAAAGAGACATATGGGAGGAAACAGCTCTTCTTCCCCCAGACATTATCACCTGGGCGGTAACGCCCTCATTGAAGCAGCCATCTTGTCAACTGATGGGAACTCACCAGAGGATGGTAAAGTGGAGAGACACAGAATGAATCCAGGAACTTAAAGACATCATATAGTCACCAGATTAACTAGCAGGGAACCAATCCAGTTTAAGCTTCTTGTAATGCAAAATTATCACCTTTTCTTCTTATTAAAAAAAAAAAAAACTACTCAAGAACGATTACATATCAAAAAATAACTGAAACTCATTGTCGTCTAGTGAATTCTGACTCATAGCGACCCTGTAGGACAGAGTAGAACTGCCCCATAGGGTTTCCAAGGAGCAGCTGGTGGATTCCAACAGCTGACCCTTTGGTTAGCAGCCTGAAGCTCTTAGCCACTCAGCTACCAGCACTCCAACGATTACATAGAGAGTTGCAAATGTGGAGGTAATTGGAAAAATTAAAACTAAGGTTAAATTATGATGCTATTCTTACCTTGATGGTAATCTAATACAAATTGTCCTGAAATTAACATACCATTAAATGTTTTAATGAGTTAACAATATACCCCTTCTTAGAATTAATAATTCTTTTCTCAAATTTTACCAGCTTTACTTTTAAGGGACAATAAGTATACTGTTTTCAAAAGTCTCAAGGGAAAAAATGGTGATTGGCAAGAAATATATTAGCTAAAAGGAACAGTTAACTAGAGGGCATAATACTGCAATTACAGCTGTTAGAAAACTAATTTGAATATCCACAGTGTGGGTTTATTTGCACACTTGTTTGTGTGCACGAGTGTGTATGGATATGTTTCTCAGAGACTCCTTATGTCAGAGACCCCTGTGTGCTCAAAGACAAAGGTCACCTTTCAGAGGATGTCATACTTCTGTGTGTATGAACCCTCTC